CAGGCGCAGGGTCAAGGGACGGAAGGCCGAGCAGACGAAGGGCGGACACCGGCGGGGACTGCTGCTGCTGCGACACAACACCAACACCCGGGCCGCAAGCTGCGCGACGGCTACCTCCCGAACCCTCCACGCCGGCACCCCCAGAAGGGACACCCCCAGAGCCCGAAACCCCGCCAGCGCCGGTACCACCCCCAGTCCTGCCAGGACAAGCCACGACAGGAGCCCCGGGACGAGTACCCACCTCAACTCCAGCAACCCCAGAGTCCACGAACGGCGGCAGCGACGACAGCGGCGGCGGCGGCGGCGTCGGCTGCAACAACTGCTGCGACGGCGGCGGCGGCGAAGACGACAGCTGCCGCAGCAGTGGCGACGGCGGCTGCGGAGGCGGTGGTGGTGGAGACAGCGGAGGAGGGATTGGCGGCGAGGACTGCGCCGGGGGACTACCAGAGTCGGAAGACTCCTCGACCGGGACGACCGACGGGAGGGGGGTGACGTGAGACACACCAGAGGGGGCCGGACGGGAGGGAGGGGGGGGGAGGGGCAGGGACCACCAGGGAGGGAGGAACCAGGAACAGGGGGGAGTAACCGGGGGACCACGGTGGGGGAAGCGGCGGTAGAAGGAGACGGACTCGTCAAAGGTGACGTCACGAGAGTGAAAGAAGCGGTGAGACGGCGGGTGGTAGAAGTGCCAGTCAGACGCGTCAAGGGGGAAACCGAGGAAGACGCAGGGAAGGGTGCGGGAAGTGAGCTTGTCCGCGCCAGAGGCACGAACGTGAGCAAGGCAGCCCCAGACGTGGAACGCAGACGCGTCACCAGGGGACCCGGTCCACAGAAGGGTCGGCGAAACCTGCGGCCGCTGGGGGTGCGGCCACAGGTTAAGCTGGTGAGCAGCGTAGCGCACGGCGAACGGCCACTGAAAACGGGGTGCACCGGCATGGATCATGGAGGTGCGAGCCACCTCTTTGACCAAACCGATGCGTCGCTCAGCGACCCCATTCTGCTGCGGGGAGTTCGGCAGGGTAAACGTCTGGGTGATGCCTTCCGCACGACAGAAGCGACCGAGGACACCGGAGGCAAACTCGCCACCACGGTCGGAGTGAAGACGCAAGACAGGAAGACCACGGTGGACACGAGCAGAGACAAGCCAGGGGATGAGAGCGTCAGGCACGTCGGCCTTCCGCTCCAGGGGAAAGACGGTGGTGTAGCGCGTGAAGTCGTCGACAAGCACGAGGAAAAAGCGGCCCATGGACGGGGGCGGGGCCCCAGACGTCCATGTGTAGAGTCTGCAGCGGTGCGGCGGTAGGGGGAAACGAGGAGGAGTGAGGGCATGGCGAAGCCGGCCCTCGACGCAAGGCGTGCAAGGTGGGGCGGGGGAGGAGGGAAACTCGGGGAACGAACCGGGGAGACCAAGGATGAGACCGTGCTGGGACATGTGACGCAGACGCGGGAGCGCAGGGTGACCAAGGCGGTGGTGCCAAAGGAGTGTCGGGTGAGTGAGGGACCGAGAGGAGCAAGCAGCAGCAACCTGAGTAGACGCAGCCACCTGGGGGGACGTCCCAGCCGGGGAAGTCACGGTGTCAAGTGTGAACAGCCCTGACACCGGGTCCCGGGGGAACGTGGTAAGGGGGGCACCAGTGGCGGCCTCGGTACAGACAGCATACCGCTCGTGCCCAGGGAACGTAGTGGTGACGCCAAGGTCCTGGAGGCAGCCGACACCAACTAGGTTCCTGGAGAACGAGAGGATATGCAGGCCTGTGAGCGAACCTGAAGGAACCGCCGGAGAGGGAAGGGAGGTGGAACTGCGGGCTACGACCGGACCACCGGAGGGGTCAGCAAGAGAAACGGCAGCAGGAACAGGAAGCGGCGTCAGCGTAGTGGAGTCGCGGAAGAAACACCGGGAAGCGCCAGAGTCCAAGGTGAAGGAAAGTGCAGCAGTGGCGCCTGGCGGCGGAGAAGCGGTGGAAGCACCGAGGCTACACAAAGCAGGAGATCCTACGCCTGACGCAGCAGGGTAGTCTACGCTAGGCACACCTACACTAGACAACACGGGGTAATAAGAAGGAAGCACACTAGAGTCATCAGCATACATCACATGCAGGGCGGCTACAATGGCACAAGTCAAAAATCTGAATACTACGCCTAAGCAAACTGTGCCAGTCCGGGAGGTCGGGCGACGGGCCAAAGCGCTGACGGAACAGGTCGTCCAGGCGACGAAAACAGCGAGGAGTGGAATGACCGATCTTACCGCAAACGAAGCCGCGACGCGGACTGGTCTGGATCTGGTACTGACAGCGCACGCCTCCGGAACCACCACCCGGCGCACCACCACGCGCACGGCCACTACCAGCTCCAGGCCACCCGGGCGGGAGGGCACTCGCATGCCTCGTCTGCGGCGGCTGCTGTGGCTGCTGCGGAGGCTGCGGCTGCGGCGACTGCTGCTGCTGCTGCGGCTGCTGAGGCAGTGGGTCAGCCGGACTGGGCAGCGTCCCCTCGTCCGCTCCAGCACCAGACGACCCGACTCCACCACCACCCCCTCCTGCACCCCCGCCTCCCCCGCCGCGCCCAGCCTTGGGGCGGCGACCCTTCCCCGAGCGAAACTGCGCGGCTGCAGCAGTCTCAGCCACAGCGACAGAGCCGTCGGAGAAGGTACACTGAGCGGGGGCACAACCCTGAAAGATAGGGACCGGTACCGTACCGCTCGCCTGGGCGATGGAGCGGTGGCGAGTCTCGATAACAGTCAGGGTGTCTACGAAGTCGGTGAGGGTGAGCTCAGCGGGGTGAATGCTAAGGAACTGGTCGCGGGCGGCGGTAAGGCGGTCAGGGAGGCGGGTGGCAAGCAGGTAGAGGGTAGAGGTCATGGGCGGCTGGTGGGCTCTAAGCTGTGCATCAGTGCAGGCAGCGCGCCAGGTCTCATCTATCGAGCGCAGGTGAGCAGCTAGGTCAGAGACAGTGGGGAAAGACGCAAGGTCAGGAAAGAGCATCGGGAGGATCAGGCGACCCACGGAGGCAGCAGGGGGGGCAGAATAGCGCTTGATGACAGCATCTAAGTAGGCCTGGATGGTAGTGATGGACCTAAAGCGAGGGCGCTCAGGCGGGGGAAGGGCATTGCTAGTGGCGAGCTGAGCAACAGCGTCTCGGGAAAGCCAGACAGAGCGTGCTAGGGCAGCGGCGGCAGTGGACTCGCGCTCAGCGGGTGTGGGGTCGGCGGGCAGCACAACAAGGGGGTCTGGGCAGGGGAGCGTACCGTCAAGGTGTGCGGAAAGCGGGTGGCCATCCTGCCGCTGGCCGGTGAGGTGGCGGCGGAGGTCGGCAAGCCACGCCTCGAACTCCAGTGGCTGACCTTCAGCATCGAAGCGAAGCTCCGCCGCCATTAGGAGCAGGGAAGGACTATACAGGGCGGTGCAGAACAGTGCAGTGGGGTTCAGTGCGGTGCAATGCGGTGCAGTGCGGTCCAGTGCGGTCCAGTGTGGTGCAGTGCGGTCCAGTGCGGTGCAGTGCGATCCAGTGCGATGCAGTGCGGGGCAGGGAAGTGCAGTGCGGTGCAAAGCGGTGCAGGGAACGGGGGACAGTACTAGGGAGGATGTAGGGCCGGGGCTGTGACGACGAGGCTGGGCAGGGCGAGACGAGGCCGGGCAGGGCGCGGCGAGGCCGGGCAGGGCGTGACGGGGCCCGGCAGATCGCGTCGAGGCCGGGCAGGGCGCGACGGGGCTAGGTAGGGCGCGACAGGGCCAGGCGGGCGCGACAGGGCCGGGCGAGCACGACGGGGCCGGGCAGGCGCGACGGGGCCGGGCAGGCGCGACGGGGCCGGGCAGGCGCGACGGGGCCGGGCAGGCGCGACGGGGCCGGGCAGGCGCGACGAGGGCCGGGCGAGCGCGACGGGGCTAAGGGAGGGACGGGGCCCAGGAGGGGCGCGACCGGGCAGGGAGGTGCGACAGGGCCCAGGAAGGGGCGTCTGGGCTAGGAGGCGCGACGAGGCCCAGGAGGGGCGCGAACGGGCGAGGAGGCGCGCTAGGGGCCCAGGAGGGGCGCGCCTGGGCTAGGAGGCGCGCTAGGGGCCCAGGAGGGGCGCGACTGGGCTAGGAGGCGCTTTAGGGGCCCAGGAGGGGCGCGACTGGAGTAGGAGGCACGCTAGGGCCCAGGAGGGGCGCGACGGGGCTAGGAGGCGCGACGGGGCCCAGGAGGGGCGCGACTGGGCGCTGAGGCGCGATAGGGCCCAGGAGGGGCGTGGCTGGGCGAGGAGGGGCGACGGGGCCCAGGAGGGGCGCGGCTGGGCTAGGAGGAGCGACTGGGCCCAGAAGGGGCGCGTCGGAGCTAGGAGGCACGGTAGGGCCCAAGGAGGCGCGACTGGGCTACGAGAGACGAAGGGCCCAGGAGGGGCGCGGCGAGGCCTAGCGAGGGTAGGAGCGGAAGCGATAAGGGGGGGGGGGGGGGGGGGGGTCGAAACCTACGCGTGATACCATATCAGAGTAGAAGAATGAATTAAAAGAGAGAGAACATGTGAATATACCTAAGAGTTGTACCCTATATAAGACATGACTCTATTCAGTCTATGCAAACATAGTAGATATACATGTTTGACAGATGGGCTGTAAACTCAACCCACCAGTTGCGACATCTCATCCAGAGACTAGACTTGTGCGACCCTCACATTCACTAGAACGCACCATTAGAGAAAGTGGCCTCTCGGGGAATGCCGTGCGCTACACACAGCTCGCGCACTGGCCGCCCGTTGTGCTCATTCCTGGAGTGAAACAAGCTCCGCCCTCGCGTCCCACAAATTTACAGCAGTGACCGCAAATCACCAAATTGAACTGATCTCAACTGACGTTTGATGAACTGTCACCGCTTTGTGGCAGTTCAGAACTGGTCAGACAACGCCCCATCATGCGTGGTTTGACTCGATACTGAATCAATTCGAATTCGATACTGTGGTCTGACAGCAGCGCGCTGGGGGAACACAGCAGCCAAAAGGGGTCTCAAACATTGTGCAATTCTGCTCTGCTGGTCTGCTGCTTTGATTTGAGGCACCGTAGCATACACTGAAGTACCAGCTAGCACCACGTGTGAGTACCATTCCACATAACCAGCAGTCAGACAGCAGCAACGGCTGCTAGAAAGGCAGCATCACAAGAAATACCATGCTTCGACTGTGCTGTTAGAGCAGAGCCATACAACACATTAGCTACACTATGACATGGTTTCATAAAGTCGGATCCTAAAGCCTGGCCTAGGACTTCACACCAGCTGCTTCCGACATCTCTTGAGAAACTAATCCCGACTGCACGGCTGCTGCTAGCTCCCTCCTGCTATCCTCATTCCCTTCCACCAAGCAGCGCACCGCAAAGCACACCCACTCCCTCAAACTCTCTCCACCAGATGCACTGCTGCTGGTCGTAGAATCTGCCATGGATTGCCTGGCAACCAGAGCAAGGCCAGATACATTCTCGCCACTGGTGCTACCTGCATCCCCTCCTGTACATTTATACATTCTGACGGCATCTTGATACGTGGGGCGACGGTGGCACGCATTTGCAAGCACTGACACCAAGTCAGATCTATATCCTGGGTATGCCTCCTCCCTCCTCCCTTGCCCACTCTGCCCTCCAGGCCCGGTCAGCCCCTGGAGGAGATCCAACAGCAGCGGAATAATTTCAGACCCTCCGATCGCAACAAACGCATCCTCTACCCTTGATTTCGACTCTGTGCCTTGTCCTGCTGCTGCTGAGGTTTCTGCAGAGGCTGCGGCAGCGGGGTGCGATGGGGGAGTTGAGTCGTGAGCAGCGAGGATGCGGAGGCAGCGGAGGGAGAAGCAGAGGACGAGCTGGAGGCACGTGAAGGAGGTTGAGGAGGAGCTGGCGCTGGATGTGGATGGTGGTGCCCCGTTGGAGGACCCCGTGCTCCCTGCCTCCTCCCGGGCCTTGCCAATACCAGCAGCTGCGTTTCTGCACGCGGTCAGGAGGAATTTCAGCGTCCCTGGTCCAATGTCAGGCAAGCCGTGGGCGTGCCATCTGGAACCAGGAGCAGCCGGTTTGTTTAAAACGTCGCTCTCCAGGTTTGGACCAGCAGGTACGTCGATTCCTGATATCCCCCGCGCTTTCGCAGTGACGTGTAGTGCGCCCCACAGAACCCACAGCAGGGCAGCTTGTTCCGGGCAAAACAGCCCTCGAACCTGCCCGAGGGCAGGGCGAGGCGAGAAGTTGGGAAGGTTCTTGAAAACTGGCTCAAAGTAGCGGCCGCGCAGGCAGAGGCGCTCGATGAGTAAGCCAAGCCACTCGTCCATTCCGTTTGAGGCGTCGCCTGGGAGAGCTGGAGAGCAGAGACGAGCAACGGCAAGGATGGGAAAATAAGGAAAACGAAGGGTGGAAAAGGACTGCTTTTGGCTTGTCTAAAGAGTTGTGCACGAGGATGCGAAATGGCAGTCAGCAGTGCGTACCTGAGAAAGCATCACCACTGCTGCCCCCGTCCTTCCTCTCCTTGCGAGCTACGAGCGCCTCTCCTTGCGCTCTCAGCACGCCAGCCAGCAGCGCCACGCCGTCCATAGACCCGCCGAGCCCCTCCACGTGTTTCGGCACGGCGCGGCAGCACGTGAAGAGCACCATGCACAGCGCCCGCTGCACCGCCGCGGACCGGACTGTCGCCAGCCGGGAGAAGGTTCCAGGAAAGCAGCGGTCCCAGACGGCCGTTTGGTGCAGCTCGCCTGCGTTGGCGAAGTTGCCGATCACCTGTGAGTGAGAAGCATGGGAAAGGGGACGACAGAGGGATCGGGTTGGCAGAGGACATGTGAGAAGCATGGGAAAGGGGAAGTTGAAATGGGGTGAGCAGCAATGTCCAGAAAAGAAAGGGGCTGCAACGAAAACTGGAGGGTGCACTTGAAGGACGAGTCATGTGAGGCCCCTTAGTCAAAGAAGTCAGGTGCACGGATAAGAAAGCACCCGTTCGTGCCAATGGGTCCTCTCGAGATTGATTTTGCATCCGCGTATAGGCGTGCGTGGCATGAGGAGCCAGCCGCTTTAGTCAGATGCGCCGCAACGGTGGCGAGCGAGGCGATTTCCGCAGGGGTAAAGGGGCGAGGAAATCTCGGAAGGGTGAAGGGGCGAGGCGATTTCGCATGCGGAAACTGTGACTTGTCAACGGCATTGTGAAAATGCGTAAGACAGCAAGGTTAAGGAATCTGATTTGGGAAGATGAGGGGATAAGGACGCTGAAGAGCCGAGAGCAAAAACCCTTACCTGGAGAACAGCCTTCAATGCATCCACGTAATCACGAGGCAGGTCGATCTGCAGCGCCAGATGCAGCACGGACGGCGAGGCCGGCGGCAGCAGCGACGAGTAGAACATGGGCGACATGGGGGTCCCCGGACCTCCCCCCGCCATCGGAGACCCTTGCGCGAGAGCCGCTGCGCCGCCCGCAGGAGAGGGAGCGCCGGGAAGAGCCCCGAAGGATGCCGCGGAAGGGGAGAGGAGGGGTAAAGAGAGCGTTCCGGTGACCTTCCTGTTGATGGACCGTTTCCGCCGATTGGCTGCGCTGGCGGAAGCTCCCCCGGCAGAAGTCGCTATGGCGGGGGGACGGTTGAGCATGCGCGCGGAAGGCGCGGGTGTGGAACCCGTGGCGGAAGCAGACGGCGGTGCAGGCGCAGGCTTTGACGACGAGCGCCCGTCGGCCGTGCTGGCGGAAGAAGCTGCTCCGCTATCCACTTTCAGGCTTGCAAGTTGAGATGCCACTTGGCTCGAATCTCCACTGCTGATTGAAGCGTTGGGGCCAGATGCTGGTTGATCCGCGGCTGATGCTGCGGAGACGTTGGCGGTGCCGGCTGCAGCAGCGAGATTTCCACCGGAAGGAGCGGCGCCCGGTAGTGGATTTTGAAGGACGATGTGACTCGATATAAGCCGATCCGCGATAGTAGCCACAGCGTCCAAAGCACCGCATTGTAGAAACGCGTCTTGATTCGAGGCGAGGCCGGCGAGCAAGTTCCGAATAATCCGAAGGACTTGCACCAGCGGTCGGATTGCGGGTGCTGCGGAAGAAACACCAGCATTCGCTGCAACAATATTAGCATCAGATGCTGAAATAGTAACCTCGGATGGAGCAACATTAGCATCTGATGTTGGTGCTAACGGCTCTTCTAGATCTGGATCTGGAGAAATCGACCAATTAGTAGATAGCCGTTCAATGAAGCTTGAAGAAGCAGGTACTTGACATCCGTCAGTAACCGATGAGCCGGACACGTCGCTGGACCGCTGAAGACCATACAGCTCGGGACAATGCCGAGAAAAATCAGGGAGAAGGTTGATCAATCGCGTAACGGCGATCCCGCCGGCGACGTCCGCGTCATTCTCGAGCCATGTCCGGTCCTTGGATTTAGATAGAAGATCGGAAATTACTCGTTGCAGTGGATCTAAGGATCCGAGGTTTCCATCGGCAAATCTCGGAGCAAGCTCTTCGATCTCCGAAAACAGATCCTCCGACATGGCATCAATGGAGATGTCAGAAATGCAGGAGGAAGGTCTAAGCGAAACTAAGAGGATTTCTCAAAGATTAGAACGAAATACCAAGCTTACGTGAGAAAAAAGTAGGCGAGAGATGCTGACAGCAGGCAGTGTGCTCTTGCTTCCAGCATCGCTGAATCGGTCGGTGATGACTTAGAAAAGAAACGGTTTTGCGGGTGTGGCTGCTGCTGCTGCAGATGTGACAGCTGGAGCAAAACAGCCAGAAGAAGTTTTCAGCTGAAAGAAACTGGCTTTGCATCAAACGAAGATCTGGAGGGGGGTTGCCACAGGTAGATTCGTTGCAGTGAGCCACCGTGGGGGGCTGTGAAAGCCATAGGTATGCCAATGCAGTCATAGGTGTAGCCCATCACATATATATATAGTCCTTTCAAGGAGGTAGAGTCCCTTTCGTGGTGAGACTTGGAAAAACGAAAGCATTATAATAAATTCCACCCTAAAAAATCACTTTCCCTTTTGATACGCCACCACACTACCCATGAAATTCTTTGGAAAATACCTGAAGTAAAAAAAACCATAATTATCCACAATATTCTAAAACCGCGTAATTAAACGGCATATTATGTTATGTGAAGAGATAAAATTTAATATTCAAAGTTGAATTCTCTAACCAGTTCAGAAAGTGTAGTCCAGCACACAAGGGCCTTCTATTTTGCCTTGCTGGCCCTGGCTCTGTGTGCCCTCGCCAGGGCCTTCAGATGGTTGCACCTAACCCGGTTGGCATCTCCCTCCTCGTGGAACTCCCTCTGCCTTCCCTCGCACCAGACCAGAGTCCCTCGGGACGAGCCCAACACCAACCAATCCGCAGCTTTCTGTCCTCCTGCGAAAAGCCCAGCCTATCGAATTGCTTCAATCTGCCCGGCTGAAACAGCTTTGTTCTGCAGTCAAATCCACATTCCATTTGACGGTATCGTTACTCGCTGTCAGTCGAACTCCAGTTTGGTTTGATTTGAGCAGGGCAGCCCAACCAAACAGAAGAAGACCTCACCTCCCTTCCCTGCCGCCATTTCTCCGTTCCGTCACCGTCTCCGTCCGTCCAACCCCTTCTGCTGCTCGGCAACACCTAGAGGATCCTGCTGAAAACCTTCAGGAGGAGCCCTGACTGACAGCAGGGTATTCCCAAGCGAACATACAGGCATCAACCGCATTCCTGAACCACCTGTTGTCCTTGAATCACAATGCCTTGGCTAGTCCCACACCAACCTGGTTCTCCTGACAGCATCTGATTTGTGAACTGCTCAGTATCGCTTTGTATCTTCAATCTTACATTTTGCGTGACTCCGTAAACTCCTTCAATGCTAGTGGCGTGGCTCGAAAAACAGAGCGTCACGGAGACCCTTTGGCTGCCAGGCATCGCCAATAGGTTCCCAGATGCACCGTTTTCTGTCATAATCTTTCGGTTACCTCTACTGTGTGACGAGGCTCATGTCAAATAACGGAGCTGTATCTTATTTCAGGTGGGGTCACGCCAGCTGACTAGTTCGAATCCGGATATCAAAATAGAGAATAATATTGCTTCGCGTCGTGCAGTCAGCTTACATGGCGTATCACCACAGCCTCATCTTCGGTCTCGGCGGGATCCCGTTGATGAAATCGTCAACGGTCGCGAACGCCGTCAGCGAAAAAGTAGCCAAACCAGGCGGGTTACCAGAACCAGTTCTAGAGCTCGCGAAAAGAGTGTACCATAACACCATACCCGCGTCGCTTAGCTTGACAGGAGGCGGAACCATCGGGCGGAGCGGCGGCGGAACGATCGGTCGCAGCGGCGGAGGGACGATTGGCAGACGGAAGAAGTCGAAAAAGGACCAGCTTCCGTTTCCGCCGACGAAGCCTCAGCAATGCGTTGAAGAAGCCAAGTTCCTGTCGATCGAGACTGCCGCCATAATGCGAAAGCTGCTATGGCTCTGGTCGACGATTAGCCCTGAACAGATCGAACGGCTGCGGACGAACCTCCAGGTAAGCGGAGTCAGGAAACACAGCCACGTCTCAGGCAACAGAGTCACCTGCCAGGAAATACAGGCATGGATCAGAAGACGGTCTCAGAGCAGCCTCTGCATTATGGCGTGAGCAATCTTTTGTTCGCTAATGTAACACATTCGTTCGTTGCGAAGTGTGCATTGTCACGCATGAACATGTAACGCAAGAACGCTAGAACATTCAAGAGATTAGGGTTCTCACCCAAACTTCAATAACGAATCCATTGCGCCTGCTGCTGCTGGTGCGGATTCGATCATCTGGATGCAACCTGGTGGATGTAGGTTTATGACGGTGGTGCTTACAATCATACATTCATGTAACGAGATCAGATCCATGCATCAGTACCTCTGAATGGGTGCACGTTCTTATTTCTGAATGCACCTATGTATCCGTGAGGCGATCTATGATCGCGAATCCCCACTCGTGTACCCGTGTCCACATTCATGCCTGCAAACCCACTCATTCATGCATCCATAAACCCATGACCAGAGCCACACATCGGTGCATTCAGAACGCACCTATGCATTCATGCATCCATAAACCCATGCGTCGTTTTCTCATCAGTCTACCCCTCAACGCAATAATGCACCCAATCGCAACTTCACATGCTCCCATCCCCCATGCCTTTGCGCGTCCTCACCCCCACTTCCCCTCCCCTTTCCCCTCCTCCTCCCCCCCCGCACCCCTCCGCCCCCCTCCCTCTCCCCCCTCTCCCCCCTCACTCGTGCGTACCTTCACATGCCCCAGGAGGACAAGGCTGTTCTCACTTACGTTTGCCCTGACCCCGCGCACCTATGGACTCTAGCAGGTATGGACACATGCAGGCATGGACTCTAGCAGGTATTGACACATGCACCTATGGACTCTAGCAGGTATGGACACATGCAGACATGGACTCTAGCAGGTATGGACACATGCAGGCATGGTCTCTAGCAGCAGGTATGGACACATGCAGGCATGGACTCTAGCAGGTATGGACACATGCAGGCATGCCTTTCTCAGCATCAGACCTCTCACTCCCTTGACATCATGTCAAGCCTTGAGCTTTGAGCATGATAACTTCCATTCCGCCAAACATTACTCCTCCCCGCATTTGCCACCCCCGTTCCCCCTAAATTCTACCCTCGTCCCCACCCAATGCCACATCCCCCTTCCCCCCCCCCCCCCCCCCCCAAAATGCTACCCCCTTTCCCCCCCCTTTAGGCTTAGAGCTGATGGAGGTCTTAGAGAGGATGGGCGAGCGGGTGGCGGCAATGGGCCTCAAGTGCGGGGAGAGGCGGCTACACCAGCTGGCGAATGTGTTTGGGGAGATGCGGCACCCCGAGACAGTCTTCTCACACTTCAGGCTCGACGCCCAGGAGCAGGAGACGCTGTTCTGGTGAGTTGCGCCTGCTCACTTGTTCTGGTTAGTGGTACCGAAGCACTAGTGCGTCGAGAGGCGGCTGCACCAGCTGGCGAATGTGTTTGGAGAGATGAGGCATCCAGGGACCGTCTGCTCACACTGTAGGCTCGACGCCCAGGAGCAGGAGACGCTCTTCTGGTGAGTGGCGCTTTCTGAAGTCTGTGTCTGGTTGGTTGTGCGGATCTTATAAGTACTCTTTTGGGGGATTTTGCGTCCCGAGGAGCCGGACGAATCATGCTTGTTATTCCAGTCCACATAACCCCTCTTCCTCTCCCGTCACGCAGTTTCATGCAGGAGGCGGTGCTAGGGGGGGTACGGAGCTGCATGGAGCGACTCAACAGTCTGGTGTTCCGTCTCAAGCCCTGACGTATCCCCCACTACCCCATCCCCGCATCCTTGCAGTTTCATGCAGGAGGAGGTGCTAGGGGAGGTGCGGAGCTGCATGGAGCGACTTAACAGTCTGGTGATTCGTTTCAATTCCTGGCGTATCCCCCACTACCCCATCCCCGCATCCTTGCAGTTTCATGCAGGAGGAGGTGCTAGGGGAGGTGCGGAGCTGCATGGAGCGACTTAACAGTCTGGTGATTCGTTTCAATTCCTGGCGTATCCCCCACTACCCCATCCCCGCATCCTCACAGCTTCATGCAGGAGGAGGTGGAGAAGCTGGGGGACGTGCGGAGCTGCATGGAGCGACTCAACACTCTGCGATCCCTGCTAAGGTGAGAGGGGAGCGGGGCAAAGGTGCGCGCTGCGCCTCACTGTGTCGGCGCAGGTGGACTCGTTGGAGTGACATGGCCACGACGCAATGCACTGCGCTCCCTGCTAAGGCGAGAGAGAGGAGAGCGGAAAAGGTGTGCTCACCGCGCTCCCTGCTAAGGCAAGAGAGAGGAGAGCGGAAAAGGTGTGCTCACCACGCTCCCTGCTAAGGCAAGAGAGAGGAGAGCGGAAAAGGTGTGCTCACCGCGCTCCCTGCTAAGGCAAGAGAGAGGAGAGCGGAAAAGGTGTGCTCAACGCGCTCCCTGCTAAGGTGAGAGAGACGAGAGGGGAAAAGGTGTGCTCTCACTGCTAAGGTGCGGTGCAGTGCGCGATGCGCTCACTGCATGCATCAGCTCAGGTGGGCTCGTTGGAGTGACATGGCCACGACGCAACGCACTGCACTCCCTGCTACGGTGGCAGAGAGGAGAGGGGAAATTATGTGCTCACCACGCTCCCTGCAAGGTGAGGAGGGGAGGCCAGCAATGTGCTCTCTGCAAGGAAACGCCATGCCTTCCTTGCCACTATTCGTTCCTCAACCGTGACATGCTTTACCACTGTCATGCCTCCCTGCCATTCCCTGCAGGAAGAAGAAGCCTGCACCCGCCACAAGCCTCCTCTCAGAGCTGCAAGCAGTCTCGGCGTATGTCCCTCTTCCTTCTCCTCGCTTCCTGTTCTATCTGCACTCGGTGAGTGTGCTCAGTGTGTGCGCTCAGTGTGTGCGCTCAGTGTGTGTGCTCAGTGTGTGCGCTCAGTGTGTGCGCTCAGTGTGTGTGCTCAGTGTGTGCGCTCAGTGTGTGTGCTCAGTGTGTGCGCTCAGTGTGTGTGCTCAGTGTGTGCGCTCAGTGAGTGTGCTCAGTGTGTGCGCTCAGTGTGTGTGCTCAGTGTGTGCGCTCAGTGTGTGTGCTCAGTGTGTATGCTCTCTGTGCGGTTTCTATGTGCTTCTACACGTGTGCATCTTCACAATGTAAAAGCGGCATATCTAGCACAAAATTAATGGACCATGATATTGCTTCTCTCATCCTACCTGTCTCCGTGCTGTTTGCTTTCTATTTCTCTTTCACCCTTCTTCCCTCCCACCCCCCCATTCCCAGTGATACGATGGACGATGGCAGCAGCGACGGAAAGGGCGAGCCGGAGAAGGAGAGTGACTCGTCCTCTTGGATGCCTCGGTGCGACCTGCCAGGGGCAGAAGAGATCCTCAAACTGGTGCGGCTACCGGGTTACCAGGTTACCTGCACGGCGTCGTGAGCCCTCTGTGATCCATCCATAGCATGTGGCATTGATGTTTTTTTAAGTGCTGGCTGTGGGCCTGTGGCCCTTCCTCACTTTACCTCTACCATACCCATTTTCACCCATTTTCACCCATTTTCACCCCTTTTCACCCCCTTTCCCTTACCCCTTGCATTCCGCCTTGTCTGGCCGTAATGCTACGTGCAGACGGCAACCATATCGGAGCTGCAGAGCCGGTGCCTGTGGTCCGTGGAGCTCGATCATGTGGTTAGGGTGAGTGATGGTCAATTGCCATGGTCAATTGCCATGGTCAATTTCCATGGTCAATTGTCATGGGAAATTGCTGTGCTGGTGTGATGGGTGGTGTGATATCACCCGCCTTTGCTGGCATGACCATGTCCTTGTGATGGGTGGTGTGGTGGTCACTTGTGTGGTGCTGTTTTCAGAACTTAAAAAAGCACACTCCTCCTTTTACCTGCCCCCTCCGCACCCATCTCTTTCAGCCGCTGGTGCTGGCGATCCTCCTAAAACGAATAACAGAATCATATCCGCCTTTGCCATCAGCACACGCTCCTCTAATGCCTTGGCTCGCATTCCTACCCTCCCCACCAAACCCCCCACCCCCCCCCCCCCACCCTACCCCGCCCCCCCCCCCAACACACCTCCCCACACCTCTCCACACCTCCCTTCAGCTGCTGGTGCTGGCAATCATCCTACTGAGAGACAGAATCATATCCGTCTTTGCCATCAACGTGCGCTCCTCCGATGCGTTGACTCGCGAGGACTCACTGGGCCGAGCCGGACTGGCGCTGCGATACGCCAAGGTCATCAACCTGGCGGAGAAGCTCATGAAGTACCCTTTTATGGCTGCCGGCAATACAAGGTGAGTGAGATACGAATGATTATAGAACGTATGGCGCCGCTCTATACCAAGGTCATTCACCTGGCGGGAGATTGTGGGCTGAAAGGACCCAGGGGACTGGCGCTGCGATACGCTGAAGTCATCAACCTGGCCGAGATGCTCATGAAATACCCTTTGATGGCTGCTGGGAACACGAGGGTGAGCGATTATAAATGGATTGGGCAAGCCATTATAAAGAGTAAAGTGTTGCAATGCGCCAAGGTCATCAGCCTGTCGGAGAAGCTCAGGAAATGCCCCGTGTCCCCTTCATGGCTGCTGGGAACACGAGGTAGGTGATTATAAATGGTTTGGGTCAGTCATTATAAAGGTTGTAGTGTCAGTCAAAGCCAAGGGCATCATCCTGTGGGAGAAGCTCATAGAATGCCCCGCGTCCCCTTCATGGCTGCTGGTGGGAACATGTGAAGGCAATCCATGTTGAAGGTGAGAGGTTGTTGTAATGAGAGTCTGCTTTTGAGTCGACTCAAAAGGTGAGAGCTTGTTGTAATGAGTGCGGCGCAGCGAGCGATATGCCAATTTCATCAACCTGGCCAAGAAGCTCAGAGGAGCTCTAAGGTCTACCAACATACTATACTACAACACCAAGAAGGGCATCGCTCTGCTCTGCGCTGCGCCTGTACAAGCAAGCCTGCCACCTCCTCTCCCCCCCCCGGCCCCCGTTTTCCCTACTTCTTTCCCATTTCAGGGACGAGCTGTACGGCCTCCTGACCTATAACACCAAGAAGGACCTCGCTCTGCGCCTCTCCAAGCCTGTCGCCTCCACCAAGTGCAAAGACACCAAGACAAAAGATGCCGCCAGGGGAAAGAATGCGGAGAACAGGGACGCTGATGAGGATAAGGATGAGGAGGACGAGGAGGGGGGTGATGATGACGATGATCAATTCACATGGCTCAAGAAGCCCAGTCCGTTGAACGATCCGCGAGGTGTGGGTGGTGAAGGAGGAGGAGGAGGTGGGGGGAGGAGGAGGACGAGGAGGAGGAGATGGAGGAGTGGGAGA